TGAGTCAAGTTGCTGCTTCTTTCATTGATCTGCTTTTATATGAACAGTGGCTCAGGGAGGGAATCAGACAGGGACAAAACAAGTGTGGGAATATGTGGTTACCAGAAAGTATTAACTGGTCCTCTGAGTCTCCTCCGCTCTGCATATGGCATTGGGGTCTCCACATCCAACATATTTCCACCCAGCTATCGACGCCAAGCCAAGAGCCCTTGGCAGAGGATTGCAGGGTCTTTGCTCTTTGTTCACCCCAATGAATTCTGTCTGATTTGGACAGAAACTTCGCAGTCCTTGTAAACCTGCTTCCATCATCTCGGTGACAAGCTGGAGGCCTGAGCTGGCTTTTGGCAGGTGAAAAAATCCTCTAGGTAAGTCCTCAGAGATGAAAGCTTATGATAGAGGGCACTAGGGTGTGAAGAAAATCCTGCTGATCCTTTGCAGACTATGGATGATTCCACGCACATCAGCAAAGACGAACTGGCAGGGGATGGGTGCAGGGCCTTGGAAGCGCACCTCCACTGGGTGAACCTGAGGTGACTGTCGGTTCCACAAGGCTTCACCATCTCCAGCAGAGTGCAGCGAAACTGAGGACAGAAAGCTGCAGGGCACAGCTGGAAGTCTAACCTCATTTAGGACAAGAAACAGATCAGAAAATAAGATTTATTTCTGCTTCCGCACTTCTAGAGCAAGCATTCACATTTCCTTAGCATCCAACAGCACTGCTGCTCTCCAGCTGGGGTCAGAGACACAACTGTGCTGCAAAGCATCACAGCTCTAGGACCATTCTCTGTTCTTTGTCCAGCTCCGTGTCCTGCCTGTTTGTGCCTTCAGAGACTCTGATTCTCAGGTGCAACACAGCAAAATGCCTCCAACCTCCTCTGCCTCAGGGACAGAGACATATGATGCTGCCTTGTCTTCCAAATGAAGCGTTAGCATCTGTTTTATGCAGCAGATTTAGTGCCTAATGTTGTGCAACCTCTCTGATTTCATACTTTAAGCCCCTAACATACACACATTTTTGTAATCGTAATACTTAGCACTCCTGCTAAATATCTGCACCATGGTCTTGTAGAAAGTTAAGTAAAAAATAAAAAAAAGGAAAAGCATTTAGTGTAGCATGAGAAACCTGTGATCTCAAAAATTGCACAAAAAAACCCCTCTCCCCCTCACTTGCCAGTTGTATGAATCCAACTGTCCTTCCCATCAGTCTAGAAGTTTCAGAAGGAAAACTCTACTGTAACACTTGAAGACTGTGATATGACATTAAAGTGAGGTATGGGATTGACTGCTACACACTAGACTGCTACTGACTGTACCCGACTGCATGAGGCTTTGAGCTAACTTCTCTTCTTCATCTTCAAAGAGCTGAACAACAAACACCAGGTCCTAAAGGACCTGAATTTCCATTAAGGAACCTTCTCCTCTCAAGAAGACGGATTTAATTTTGCATTTTCTATCTACAGTCCAGAAAGGCAAGTAGAAAAGGAGATGAACAAGTGATATTCGGGAACAAACTATGAACCCCCCCAAAAAAGCAGGGTTCAGCTTTAAAACATTGTCTACTTCAACTTTTTTGCTTGGAATGAAGAAGGTGAACAGAGACAAGAGGATGCAGCAGTGATTGAATCTGGCAGCCATTCTTATACGGTGCAGGAGCGACTTAAGGAATTAACACTCAAATCTACAGAGCCCTTCCTGAAAAGCCAGTGACCTGGCACTGACGGTCCAAGCCTTCAGGGCCTCTCTGGGGACAGATGTCCAAGGTGGTACTCACCTCTTCAAGTGGGGACTCAGCACACAAGTGAACTAATCCACCTAAGCCGTAGCGAGTCAGCAAACGCAGGGGCAGACAGGGTACGGCGAGGCGGGAGAACGTGGCTAGCGGGAGACACGGCTGGTGGCGGTGGCTGACAGCAACCCTCTCCTTCAGTGAGGGGGGACAGCGACATGACCCACAGGGAGACCTATCCCCAGCGGTAATGCTCAGGAAGGCAGGATCACCTTGCAAGGTTTCAAAATTATCTTCAGACAAATCACAAGGGAGATGAAACTGGAAGAGAAGACCAGTAACCAGTTCAGCTACTGACTAACCAGCAACCAGCCCATCACAGTAGCTCTGGCTGCCAGCACTAAACCTCAACAAGGGCGAGGAACGGCCTTACGGGCTACTATTGGGTGACACGTAACTCCGTTATCCTTTTCTTTTCTTCGCTTTTTGTGTCAATCCACTTGTTGGAACCGCTTGCGTGCAGGTGGGGAAGCGCTGTCGATGAGGCACCCAGCTGGTTTAATCCCATCTCCCACACTCCTAGGACTCTGTTTGGGTATTACTTGAATGAGAGCCCCTGGGGATTGAACCTGGCCCTCATTACTGCCAATCAGTGCAAGGCAGGAGGTTTACATTAGATTAGCCTTTAATCTGAACGGTTGTCAATATGAGAATCTGCTTCTTTCAGTCACATGTTCTGAACATACAGGAGGCATATGCACCATTGAAAACAAGAAGATGCACAAAGTTCATTCATTTTACAGCACCAACACTGAGCTCTAAAAAAAGAAAATTACAAAACAAATGTTACCCTGAACTTGCTTCTCCGTTCTTTTTACTTACAAAAATACATTCATTTTCTTAACAGAAGTACAACTCTGATAATCAAATAAAATAATAAAATAAAAATACAAAAATACTCTGCTACACACATTTCATGTATAGAAGCTTTCATTTTTTTTTGGCAGTTCCCATTATTGCTACCACATGCAAAGTGAGGACTGAGCACATCTCTGTTAGAGAAAAATCGCTGCCTCTCTGGGGAAAACAGTTTACAATCAACTCCGTTTACCTTGCAAGAGACTGAATTCAGATTGGGGGTTGTGCAACTTAGTGACAACTGCACAATTGATCTAGAAATAATATCTCAAGCCACATTCAGATTAATTCCAATCAACCACAGACAGCAGCTTCTGCAACCCTTGTATCACTGGGCTAAATATTCAGCTTATCTAAACTGACATGGATCCACTGCCTTATAGCTACAGATCTATGGCAACTGAAAACATAACCCATTAAAAAATGTTAACGACCTTTACCAGGACTTCTGGTTGTTTTTCAAGAAGGATATTCAGAAATACACAAATATTACAAAATAAATCCACAAATAGTACAGAATAAATCAACCCCCCAAAACTGTTTTCTATGATGTTTTGGAGATACGTGATATTACTACATCACTCACCTACTTTAAAGTGCAGAAAATCTGCGATTTCGAATTCCAGAGTCAAAACTGTAAACAAGCTTATGGTTTTTATTGTTGTAAACAATATGCTCCAGGCCTACAAATCTCGATTTGTCCAAGAACCGAAACAAAACCACCCAACAAACAAAACAACAGCCTTTCATGTCAATTCAAGAGAAGTCTTAACACAGAGTTAACTCTTACCCACGCACACCCAGAATATATTCTTCAAAGCTCACTCATGATTAAGCATTTTGCTGAATTAGGACCGTTCATTAGGCCTTAGACCTCAAACTCGCCTGAAAAGCTTTCAGCATTAAACTCAACGAGACACTCGGTGGATGCACTGATGTTACTTCAGGCTCTTTCAGCAGAAGCTTTCCCGGTTCCCAGTCCCAGCACCGCGAGTCACTTCCCAGATGGCCCCAAGCGAGTAACTCGTGGTCACTGTCTCCAGAGCCACCTACTGCAAGTGCTCCCGAACAGCAGCACCCAGTCCTCCACAGGCACTTCCAGGGTAAAATAAAGGCACCTTCCCACTGACCCACACGGCGAAGCCAGCGGGCTGGAAATTCGGGTCCTGTATTGTGTTAATGTCTTCAAGGCAAACAAGCCTTCGGCTCTTGGAGTCATCGCTCTCCCCTCCCACTTCAGACACGTCTTCAGAGTTCAGTCCTTTCAGCTTGAGCTTGGAGCCAGCCCCTGTGTGTGCACTCCCTCCAGAAGCAGCCCAGAATGACCAGGTCTGGACTGAAGTGCTCCAGCAAGTGCCTGAGGTGAGCTGTGTCTTTCGTCTACAAAACGTGTCCAGCAGTGTAAATCTATAGTAGAACTGACGTTTCAGTTCATGTCTCTGACTGAAAAAAATCACCACTTAGAAGTCAGGTGTAGCCCCATTATTATAAAACACTGTGTGCAAACGGAGATTTACACAAACGTCACAGCGTCCTGTGAGGCAGAGAGCCTGCACCACCTGAGAATGCGTGAGCATCACAATTACTTAAAGGCCAAGATTTACAGAAAAAAGAATGGTATAGTCCAATTTTTGGAAGGGGCTATTGATTGTGGGTATCCTGAGGGGAGATGTTCATTCTGAAAATGCCATTTTCTGACAAAGATCAGTTTAGAGGTTTCAGAAGCAAGGAAATCCCGTACTGAGAAATAGGGTTCTGTTTAGTATAAAATCTCTAAAGTTAAATTACATCAAAATCTCTTTCAGAAAAACTTTTTGTGAGAAAGTCCTCAAAAAATATCTGCATTAGTGACTTTCTTAATTTCAAAATAAAGTAAATCCCAACCCTGTATGTTGTACTTCAGGGTTCCCAAGTGCTTTTCAAACTCCCTAGTGTGCAGTTTATAGGTAGAGGTTATATTCAAAATCCACTCCAGCCTCTGAGGGCGAAATATACCACGAGCTAAAATTTGGGTGGTGCATCACATCTACACTTTTTTTCCCCTCGACCTACAAGTCTACAATATTTCCTGTTGCAATGAGATCACAGCTTTTCATTAATCATTGAAAATCAAAATTAACCCAAGCCTTCAATAGCTTATATTCCTGAACATTTGTAATGTCTTGGAGCACAGTGCATGGAGTTAGAGATCTATTTTGCATGGCGACGTCTTCTCTCGGTTCCATTATTGACTGTGTCAGAATCATCCTTCATCCTTTTTGATAAAATGCGAGCAGAGAAATGCGCTGGAAGACGCTCACAGAGTTTGTGCACAGGATGTGAGACTGTGTTTGGAAAGTCACTGCATTCAGGGCTTTCAGACCGAGGTGTCCTTTTGGTGGTCATCCAGGTTCTCTGTGCTTTGATGGCTCCTTCTGTTAAAAGCAGAACAAATGATACGTGAACGGACCCCTGGCTTCTCGTGCTAACTAATCCATTTACAGTTTGGCAAATTCAGACAGCTGAGGACCACCAGCGAGGTGGGGCTGTTATGGACAGTGACTGAGGTACCTAAAGACAGGGACCAGTCTCAGCACTGTTCAACATCTTTGCCAGTGACACGGACAACAGCACTGAGTGCATCCTCAGCAAGTTTACCGACGACACCGAGCTGTGTGGTGCTGTGGGCTCACTTGAGGGAAGAGATGCCACCCAGAGGGACCTTGACAGGCTTGAGAAATGGGCCAGTGCAAACTGCATGAGCTTCAACAAGTCAAAGGGCAAGGTCCTGCACCTGGGTTGGGCCAATCCCAGGCACAAACACAAACTGGGCACAGAGTGGGTTGAGAGTAGCCCTGAAGAGAAGGACTTGGGGGT